CTGCTGCTGTTGGTGGGCAGACGTCAGAACCCCGGCCTCGTTGCCAATGGAGCTGCGCCGTTTCGCGAGGTTCGATTGCTTTTTGAACCTGACACCATCCCCATCCATTCCCATGGGCCCCCTTCCCCTCCCCCATTTACCACGTTTTTCCCGCCGTCCACCTTTGATCCCTACATTTGCTTTTGCATTCTGGACTATCTCGTGATAAACCCATCTCCACCGCAGAGGCAAGATCGATCTTGGAGATTCGCAAGAAACCTGACAAAAGAGAGGTGAGGCAGATTGTCAATCTTCCGGATCCCCTCCCCTGCATAGCTCTCTTAGGGCTGGACATGGGAATGGGAGATGGTTCCCGTCATTGAGAAGCTTGATTGCTTACACTACAATGCCACAGCCACACCGGGTCCCCTCCTCCCCCGACGGACAGGGACGGAAAGCATTGAAGCAAGCTCGAGCAAAGCACGAACATACGCCTGATCCGGAAGACCGAGATTGGAACCAACAACACACCGGAAAGTGCGGGACGGGCAAGCACGGGACAACATACAACCACCGACCCGAGACACAAGCCAGTCCGGCCTCAAAGCCGGCCATGGACCCCGATGCCTGCCGCAACTGCGGCCACTCGGGCAAACACACCACCTTCCTCGACCACCGCTGCGCGATCCACGAGCGCGACGACGCCGAGCGCGACAAACTACAAGCCGACGCCGCCCTCGAGCGCGCGCGCTCCCTCTGCGAGACGTCCCTCACCCTGATGAAGCGGCAGATGCAGGAGCTCGAGGACGCCAACGAGGCCATCGAGGCGCTCGCGGCCGCGCTCGCGGCAGCCGAGGACCGCCGCGAGAGGGTGCGCCGCGACCTTGGGGCGCACGGCGACGTGTGCCTGACGGCGCGGTCGAACCTCGAGGCTGCGGAGGAGATGGCCATCGCGGCGGCGGGGCGGTATTTTGAGGCGGGCCGGGCGGTCAGCGCGCTGGAGGAACAGGAGGCGTTGGAGGCGAAGAGTAGTGAGCCGAGCTGGGAGCGGGAACAGCCACAAGAAGATGGGGAGGGTGAGGATGAGGAGGGGGATGCGAGGAGGTGGCAGCGGAGTAACGAGCGGTTCTGCAAGTGGTTGAGGCAGAGCGAGGCGCAGCGGCAGATTATGAAGTCGTCGTGGACGAAGCTGCGCGTGGCGGAGCGGCTGGCGGGCGAGGGCGCGGAAGTGGACGAGGAGCAGGTTGCGAGGGAGAGAAGGGTGCAGGAGTGGGCGGCGGCGCGGCGGAGCGATCTGCCGCCGGACGAGGACCCGACGCTGGTCACGGAGGAGGGCGCCGAGTCGGAGCCCGCGGCGCCGGTGGTAGCTGTGACAGTGGCCGTGCCGCCTACGCCTGCGGCGACGAGGTCCGGGGCCGCGAGGCGGGCTGCTGCGCCGGCGCCGTTGAAGACGCGCGGCCGGAGCGGGAGGACTGCCGCTGCGGCGGCTGCTCCGGTGACTGCACCGCCGTCGCCGACGAAGACCACGACCACCACGACCGGGAGGGCGCTGAGGACAGCGAGGAGGGTGGAGAGCCAGACAAGGTCTGAGCCGAGCCGGCCTACGACGGCGACGAGGGCGAAGAAGGAGCCTGTGACGGCGAATCAGAAGGCTGCCGCGACGAGAGTGACGAGGGCGGCGCGGACGGGGAAGACCGCGGCGCCGGCTACGGAAGCGGCGGCAGCGCACGGGGCGAGCGCCGGGAGCTCCGGGGCGCTTTCGGCGTCGGGGAGGCCGCAGAGGGTTACGAGGAGGAGGAGCAGGGTGCAGCCGTACCCGACGCCGGCGGCGCAGCCGAGATGGAAGTAGATGAATACTGGTGGTTATAGTTGTAGATTGTGTTGTCTTTATATACCCAGTTCGTTCGACCGGGGCAGGGTTGGGGGGCACCGGAGTTGTGGGATTGAATGATACACGCGGAGTTTAGATACCAACACGTTTAGACTGAATATTCTTTCCATTTGTTCCATGAAATCTGCACTGCATTCAGATCAAGTGAGATAAAGATAAGCTTCCAACATGGTGATGGTATCTAATCAGCATCATCATGATAAGCAAACACCTAGGACGGATTACTTAAACCACCATGGCGTCATCCAACCCACCCATCGCGACATGCAACTCTAAAAGAACCTCCACACCGAATCCGCGCCTCTCTTCTTCTTGAAGCCGCTGTACCACCTGCACAGCGGGTACATCACGCTCATCACAAACGCCCAGTTGAGCGCCCACACCCACACATTGTCCACGCCCGTCGCGGGCCGTCCGTCCGGCGGCGGCGGCAGCCCCGTGTCGCGCCCGATAAGCGCCACCAGCAACAAACACATGCTCATGAGAATAACCATGTGCACCACGTAAAAGAACAGCGCGGACGTCCCGAAGGCAAGCAGCACGCCCAGCCACCGCGTCGCGAACTTGGGCGGCACGGCCGAGAAGGCGGCCAGCAGGAAGAAGGTGCCCGCCAGGGTGAAGCAGTAGAAGGCGACGTCGGGCGGGTACTTTACGATGTAGAAGAAGGACGCCGGAGACGCGAGGTAAGGGTTTGTCGCGGGGTGGGCGCGGTGCTCGGGCGCGCGGAGGCAGTGCTCGGAGAGGTTGCCGACGCGCAGCACGCGGGTGAGGACGAAGGCGGCGAGGAAGAGCAGGCCGGCGGCGATGTTGGCGCAGACTTGGGACGGCACGGGGAGGTGCGGGCGGGCGGTGACGAGGCGGGCGTAGAGGAGGCCGAGGATGGCGAAGGAGAGCCATGCGAGGGGCGGGAAGGGGGAGACGACGTGTGGGGAGATGACTTCGAAGAACCAGAAGCGCCAGAAGTCGTTGGCGGAGGAGGAGGTGGCGGTGGTGGTGCAGGTGCCGTGGGTGGGGGAGAGCCAGATGTTCCACCAGATGGTGACGAGGGAGAGGGCGAGGAGGAGGGCGTTGTGGGCGTGCCAGGAGATGGCGGTCGCTTTGGAGGAGGGTTTGGTGCCGGAGGGGGTGTGGTGGCCTGCGTGCTCGAGCAGAGGTTCCCTCTCGCGGCCGCCTTCGCCATCTGTGAGGATGTACCGGTCGAGAAGGGCGGCAAGGCGAGGCTCTGTGGTCGCGATGCCGAGCCAGAGGAGTCCCGCAAGGACATAGTCCACCCCCAGCGCGACGAGGACGACGTTCATGAACCAGAACCTGCCACCCGTGAGCACAAGCCCGAGGACGACGGAGACCAGCGTCAGCACGGCGCCGCGGACGGCGAAGTGGCGGGCCATGCGGGCGGCGGACCAGCCGAGCCTGCTGCGGGAGCGGCCGAAGTAGACGACGCCCATGCCGAGGAGGAAGGTGAAGCCCGGGGCGCAGAGGTGGGAGAGGGTGCGGACGAGGTAGCCGAACCACCAGTTCCAGGAGTCGACGGGGACGGCGTCGCGCTCGCCGTCGGGCGGGCCCGTGGAGTGGCGCCAGGCATTGAGGCCGACGGTGTTGTGGTCGAAGGCCATGAAGAGCATCAGCAGGCCGCGGAGGAGGTCCGGGGCGAGGGCGCGCTGGGGCGCCGGGACGACGGGTCTGGGTGGTGGTGATGGTGTGGTGTTGTATGTGTAGCCGTTGGAGGCCGTCTCTGCGCCGGAGTCATGGCCGTTGGACTGGGCCTCGTGCTCTGGTGCGGATTCTGGAGGTGGCGGCATCGTGGTGTTGGGGAGTTGGACTACCGTGGGAACATCACCAAAGGGAGTTGATGATGAGAAGAAGAAAAAGGTGCTTATTTATGGAGAATGGGCTCTGAGGGAATGGAGACTGGGGACGTTGCCAAAGGTCCAGAAAGTCCGAGCCGCGCGCGGTGTCTTAGCGTGGGCGCGGTGGACTTTGGGCGGCGGACTGTTGAATGGATGACGTTCGCTTTATTCAGCACATATGGAAAAACGCGACTTTGCAGTGTCTCAGGGGTGGGCGGCCTAATGTATTTCGAGTCATCCCAAGTCCACCTAAGAGAGGGACATAGGGCTGCATTGCTGGTGGATATGGGGGTTTACAATTTGTTGCAAATGTAGCCCTAGTTCTTCCAACTGTTCCTGTCTTGATTGGATCTTCCTGCATACGAATAACCCTGTTGTGGTCTTCCTCGGAGACTTTTAGCTTCTGTCATCTCGTTCAAAGACGCGCTCGGTGCGTCAGACGGAGCAACCGGAGCGTCCGGCCGACTGGGAGAAATTTGCCGCTGACCAATTGAATTCCGCCTCGCCGGCGTAGAGGGACTCAGGGGGCTGCTTATTACTGCGGACTTTGGGGTGAGAAATTCTTTGTGGTTTTCAATTGGTTCTCTCTTTGGTTGAGGGGAATTGATTCGATAAGAAAGCGTGTCCCGTTTCTGCCAGCACTTGATGACTTTATGTGTCAGCGCCTCTTCATCTAGAAGATCATGTTTAGCTGGGGGTGGGTGCTATTTCCTACTATGTCTCTTGGACAGAGCATAAATAATGGAAGCTTCAAGACGCTGGCCCACATGTCTCAACCGAAGACAAAAGCACAGTGATTCAATTAGTCATAGACTCCCCTCACCTTCATCTTTGCGGCAACATTCAATCTTTATTCTTAAACAGGCGCAACATCCGTCCAAGAAGTCAAACACCCGGCCCGAGATAAACCTTGCCGCACAACGCTCTTATCGGCCTTCACCTTACCCTCCGGCCTCCCCCCCCCTCCCGGCCTCTCTTCCGAACAGCGGGGCCCCGGCCAGCCCATATCTCCCGATTGAGCAATCTTTAGCACCCCATTGGTGAAGCCATCCGGAGAACATCTTAGCTCCAAAGTCGTCATCACCTGGCGCTGTCACCCCTCACTGCCAAAATGCGGAGGGCCCCGCCAACACCAGCCGTTCCGAGTTCCGACCTCCGCGATGGCCCCCCACTCGGATCTTTAACAGCTTGAATCGCGGGGTGATAAAATGAGCCTTATGAACCGCAGTCGTTCACGATGAGTTGCCTCTACAGGTGAACTCTCTTCACACCAACCCGTCAAAATGGCTGAAAAGACAGACACCGAAGCAATCCTAAAGAGCCTCACGCTCGAGGAAAAAGTATCTCTTTCTGTAACACCCCTCTCACGCAAAACATCTCACTAACCCTTCACCAGATCCGCCTCCTCGCCGGCCGCAACTTCGTCGAAACAGGCGACGTCCCCTCCAAAGTCCCCGCCATCAAGACCACCGACGGGCCCAACGGCACCCGCGGCGCCGCCATCGACGGCAGCACCAAGGCCGCCTGCTTTCCCGCCGCCTGCAGCATCGCCGCCACCTTCGACCGCCGCCTCGCCCGCGCCGTCGGCGCCGCCCTCGCCCAGGAGTCCCGCGCCAAGGGCGCCCGCTGCCTGCTCGCGCCCACCGTCTGCATCCACCGCCACCCGCTCGGCGGGCGCAACTTCGAGTCCTACAGCGAGGATCCGTTTCTGGCCGGCAAGCTCGCCGCGGAGATGATCAGTGGGTGCCAGGGGTTAGGGGTCTCGGCGACGATTAAGCACTTTGTGGCCAACGAGCAGGAGACGGCGCGGACGACGGTCGACGAGACGATTTCGGAGCGCGCGTTAAGGGAGATTTATCTACGCCCGTTTGAGACTGCCGTGAAGGAGGCAAAGCCGTGGGCGGTCATGTCGGCGTATAATCTTGTCAACGGGGTGCACTGCGACTCGAGCGAGTGGCTGCTGAAGGAGGTGTTGAGGGGGGAGTGGGGGTGGAAGGGGCTGGTGATGAGCGACTGGGGCGGGACGAACTCCGTCGCGGAGGGGATCAAGGCCGGCTTGGACATTGAGATGCCCGGCCCGCCGAGGATACGCAAGCCGGCTGCGGTGCTGGCGGCGGTCGAGAAGGGGGAGCTCACGGAGGATGTGATTGACGAGCGGGTGCGCACGATTCTGGAGTGGACGGAGCAGCTGAACGGGTTCCGCGATCCGACCATCACCGTCGAGAAGGCGATCGACCGGCCGGAGCACCGCGCCCTCATCCGCGATGCCGGGGCGCGGGGCATCGTACTGCTGAAGAACGAAGGCGGGATCCTGCCCCTGACGAAGGAGAAAGTTAGGGGCAAGAAGATCGCCTTGATCGGGTACGCCAAGGACGGTCTCGCGCACGGCGGCGGGAGCGCGAGTGTGAATGCGCATTACCGCCTCCCGCCATGGGACGCGCTGCACGCCGCCCTCGGGGAGGACGTCGAGTTCAGCTATGCCAAGGGCGCGCACAAGGAGCGCCTCCTCCCGCCCATCAGCGCGGACGGCCGGGTCGGGAAAATTGTTGGCCTCGACGGCCAGCCCGGGTTTAGCAGGCTGTTCTACGACTTCCACGGCCAAGCGGGCGACGAGCCCGTCTCGGTGCTGCACAGCTACCCGAACTCTGCGTACTCTCCGCTCGGGTCGCAGGAGTCGATGTGGAAGACGCTTGATATTGTCGGCGACTTCACGCCGGCGGAGTCGGGGACGCATTACATCGCCTGCTCCGGCATCGGGCCCACGCAGGTTTTAGTTGATAACGAAGTTGTGTTTGAGCAGACGGGCAACTGCGCGGATCCCATGGGCGCGCTGTTCCTTGCGGCGAACGAGCCGGAGATCAAGCACGCTTTCGAGGCGGGCAGGACGTACCGTCTCCGTATACACAGCAAGCCGCCGACGAAGATTGGTCTGGAGATTCTTGAGGGCAGGACGGGTGTGAGGATGGGCTTCGCGCTTGAGTCGGATCACGACGCAGATTTACAGGGCGAGGCGGCGAAGGTAGCCGCCGCCGCGGACCTAGCGATTGTATTCACAGGCCACGATCCGCAGTGGGAGACCGAAGGACGCGACCAAGAATCCTTCCACCTCCCCTGCGACCAGGACGGACTTATCGAGGTCGTGGCGAAGGCGAATAAGAACACGATCGTGGTTAACTCCACCGGCGTCGCGGTAGCGATGCCCTGGCTGGGCAACATTTCCGCGCTGGCCCAGTCCTGGTTCCCGGGGCAGGAGTGCGGCAACGCCATCGCGGACGTCCTCACGGGCGCGGTGAACCCCGAGGGTAAGTTGCCCGTTAGCTTCCCGGCGCGGGTCGAGGACGCGCCGGCGCACGGGAACTTCCCTGGTGAACGTGTCGACGGGCAGTTGAGGGTTACGTATGAGGAGGGCGTGTTTGTGGGGTACAGGCACTACGACCGCGTTGAGAGGTCCAAGGTTAACTTCCCCTTTGGCTTTGGGTTGTCCTACACGAGCTTTGAGTACGCCAACTTTGCTGTGGCCAAGAAGGGCGGTGATCAGTTTGATGTCACGGTGGATGTTACCAACACTGGCAAGCTTGAGGGCGGTGCCGTGGTGCAGGTTTACGCTGGCAAGGCGACTTCATCCCCGGACACGCCAGTAAAAGTGCTTGTTGCGTTTGACAAGGTCCGTCTTGCGCCGGGCAAAACGACTACTGTGCAGCTGTCTGTTGTGGCGAAGGATTTTGCGTCGTTCGATGAGGCTGGGCGGGAATGGCTTGTGGAGGCAGGAGAGTACAACTTCACCCTTGGAGAGTCAGCCGCTGAGGCGATTTCTGTGGTCGCAGTGGCTGTAGATCGACTAACATATCAGCGCTAGAGCTGAGTTTTGTTGAAGTGACATGCACTAAAGAGGTAGCACAAATGCAAATGACCGCCAAATGAATGCTGTTGTATCTCGTTCATCTGCAACTCGTGCATCTCGGAAGCTTACGTCATTGTCGTACGGATGGCACAGCAAAGGTCACCGCCACGATTGCGTCCTGTGTATGTGTGCCGACGAGAGAAACACAGGGGAACACAGTAGAAATTTCGTTTCGGCTCGTGGCTGAGACGACGCATGACGCCAACAGAGCTGTGAGCCCACAAGGGGTAATATAAGTCCCAGGATCAGCGAAGATAGCCGTCTCCGGTGGGACAAATGGCGGAAAGAGTGCATCCCATTTCTTCGTTGCTTTTCAAACATGTTCACTACACTTCGATGGTCGGTTTGGGGCCAGCAGATTTGGGCCCTCGCAGGTGCCGTTGCTGCACTTACTACGATGGCGATCCTCCTCGGCAAATTCAACAATCGCCCCATTTTCAACCAGATGGGATTCACGATCAATGCCGTTATATCTGTTCTTTCAGTCACTGTCAAAGCTGCTGTAGCTTTCGTTCTCTCGGAATGTATGGCTCAATGGAAGTGGATTCTGTACGCTAGGGAAGACAGGCTCATGATCGATTTCGATCGACTCGACGGGGCTGCACGTGGTCCTTTGGGCAGCCTGAGGGTGCTGTCGAGAACGAAAGGAGCGTACGTATCAAATCATGCCCATGCGCTTCGGAATACATGGGCGCTAATATCGACCACTAGGTCTATTGCCCAATTTGGGGCTGTCCTGACCATAGTTGCCCTCGCCCTAGATCCTTTTGCCCAGCAGCTACTTAGACTTCGCGAAGCTATCGTGTACGACAAATCAAACAACGACACCTCGGCACTTATTTCACGAGCAGCAGAGTACTCCTTGGGCGTTGCACACACGGAGAAGACTCATTTCACCAATTTGACTTGGGATTGGGAACGCAATGCATCTACCACAACAGCAGAATTCGAGTTCTGGAATATCACTACTAGCATTCCACCCTCAATGGAAGGGGTAATCATGAGTGGCTTTTACAAATCGCCGGAAGAATTGCAACGGGAAACTCTTTTCCGGTGCTCCTCAGGAAACTGCACCTTCGAGCCATTCGTAACCCTTGGTGTATGCCATAGATGCACAGATCTCTCCGTCAATCTCACCCGAATGCCCGGTAACTACGACGAATTGCTGAACACAATCAAGCCATATCATACTGCTAATACACCTGGGATCATCGTCAACGGGTCAACCATGTACGCCACTGGATTCAGCCTTCCCAACGGCCACTACATCGCCAGCACCGAAGGCTGCCAACCTTACCACCGCCAAAAGTATAGCAGTGAATCATATACTACTACATCTTTCGGTACCGGGAATCCAAATAAGACAGTCACCATGACGGACATTGACACTCTATTATGGTCTATGAGTATTATATACGCAGATATCAAGGCGTTGAATGCGTCTGGAGCGTTGAAGGATTTAGATCCGTGGTCGGAAGAACCTCAACCGCCTGAGGTGACTTGGCCAAACGTGTCACTGAAGGCGTTAGAGTGCGGCCTCTACTACTGCGCCAAACGCATCACCTCAAAGGTCGAAAATGGTCGCCTAGAAGAAACCGTCGCAGAAATTGCTAATACTAAGCGGTCAGAGTTTTCATGGGACTTACCAAAAAATATTTACTTGAATATTAACGACAAATACGACCGAATACCGCCAGAGTACCGCGCCCCCCCCCCCCCCCCCCCCCAGACGAGTTGCGGAGTCTGGAATTCCACAAGCTTTGGTCCGTCGTCGCCAAAAACCCTCTCGAGATCGTAAAAGACTCAAAGGAAGACGATTGGCAGATGCAGTCCTCAAGAAACCAGGTGACGATCCAGTCGGAATCTGTCAAATCAATTAGCGCCTACATCCAAACTCTGTTTCGATGGGAGCCCTGGTTCAACGATACTAAAGTTTGCGCTCAGCTTAGCCGTCTTGAGGGCATGGAAAATGCTGTCGACTTCAACGGCGCATCGTTTGGACCAGTCAAGTCCCTCTATGCCGCAGCCCAGCCACCGGCGTTGAACAGGCTGGTGTCACTTAGCCGGTCCGACTTTGCGGGCGTCTCCGCAGTCTTTGAATCCATGGCTATGAGCATGACGAATGAGATCAGGCGAACCCACGAGGACGCCGACGTCGCTCGCAATGGAATGAACACCATGACCTATGAAGGGCTGGTGGGCAGCACTGTTGTGTTGTACGAGGTCAAGTGGCAGTGGATAGCATTGCATGTTACTGTACTGACATTGGCCTGCACGTTGATGTTGATGACGATCATCAACACAGGAAGCAACGTAGATGTGCCGTTGTGGAAGAGTAGCTCACTGGCGGCCCTTCGGCATGGAAACGACATCGGCGGGTTGCTAAAGGAGTCTGGCAAGTCTGTGGCCGACATGGAGGACGCAGCGAGGAAGATGTACATGAGTGGACGCCGCATTGACGTCGAGGAGACTAAGTATGAGGGAAAGCAGTATTCAAATCTCGTGGAGAGCAAGAGAGCCTCGCAAATCGATCTGGGTGAGGGATTAGCTGAGGCGTCGACAACAGATACTGTTGAAGAGCGGTTTGAACCCCCAAGACCAGCGTCGTTCCATGACCAAGGGTCGGAGATGGCTCCCAGAACATATTCCCACACATTCTAGCAATAGTTCATCTTCGATTGACAGATTGTTACCTAAGTTGAGGTTGTCCCTAATAAAAGCTTGTTCAAACAAGACTCGACTGATTTTGTTTGGGGACCATATGCTGTACCGATGTGCAGGATGGTATCACCTGACTATTTATCAGATACAATAGAAAATGTATCAGAATCCCAGAAACAGCAACTTTCCCAGTAACCACAATATCAAACGCCTGCTTCCAGTTCAGCAATGCGCTCCTCCCAGTTCGGACCGAACAGTTCCTCGGCCTTTGCTCTATCCTCCCTCATCTCTTCGACGTGTCTCTCCAAACGCAGACGAATCCACTGATCCTTCTCATCCCGATCGCTTATCCTATGCAATGCTCGGATATCGCCTTCGATCTCAGCGGCCCCCAGTATTGCCACCTCTCGGTTGACTTCCCCTGTCCTCAAGGCTTTTTTGATCTCCTCGCGCAACTTTTCCAACTCGGCCTGTTCGCATTTGAGCTCGTCCCGGCGTTTCTGGGCTGCGGCGCGTCCGCGGGTCTCGCTTCCAATCTTCCGCTCCAAGTCCAGGACATCGGTGCCGATTTGACCCAAGCGTAGGGAGAGAAAAACGTCTTTGTCTTTAAGAAATGTCATCTGGCCTTCGGCCTCAAATTCTGCCTGCATATGGGCACTGAGCCGCTCGAAGAGGGAGCATTCGAATGTGGAGATGGAGGTGTGCGTCTGTGATGTGCCGCATCCATGGCAGGGTCCGAGTATTGCGAACGCGCTCGTGCGCTTCGCGAGAAGGCTTTGAATGGTTGTCATCTGTGAGGCAGAGGGCATTAGCAGGGTGGTTCGACGGTAAATTCGGGGTGGAAGGGCACATACAGTTTGATGGGTGAAGTCGAAAATAGTTCAAATTTGTTTTGCTACGAAGGCAGCGTGGTGGTGGCGATGTCGAGAAAAACGTCGGGCGTGGGCGACGATGAGGCGGTGAGAAGAGGCTGGGATTGATGCATGACGCGAAAAAGAGACGTGACGGGCTATCCTTATTTATGAACATCAATTGCTTATGTAACTGGGAAATCATGTTTAAAGTAGTAATCATCTCGCCTGGAAACGATTCGGAAACGTTTCCGGAACGATTCGGGAACGATTCAATTCAGTGCATATGGGTTTGAGGCCTTGTAAAATGACGCAACGAGGTGCGGTCTGATTGCGGTTCCCTAATCCATGGACATCAGGACCTCAAGTCCGCATAGATAACTTCAGACTCAGCTTCATGAGTGGAGGTAAATTGATGTTCAATAAAAGCATAGGTAGGTAGGTTTTAGGTTGACGTTATTTGCCAGGTATGCTTTCATCAGTACACGTATCGGCAGATGAACCACGATCAACGCTCACTATAACATAATAGGAATGATAACGTCAGTGATGGGTAAAAGCCGAGATAAAAGCTCAGATATTGACGTCAAGACATAGTGTGGAACTATCTTGATTTTACTCTGTCTCCAGATTGCTTTCTTGAAACAAAGGCGAAGCCAAATTGCAGTCGATAGCTACTTGGTCTTAGTCCTCGCAAACGCCGGTAAGTAGGAACGGTACGTCGGACACGCATTAGACTTTGGATGTCTCCATTGACACAAATACGAAATCAGGTTTTACTCAACCTGTAGAGCGACCCTGTACAGCGAAAAGAGAACACGCGGAACGAAACGTCTTGGGTAACGACTCGAAAACAGCATGCAAAAAGATGAAATCGATACAAGTGCTGAATATCTTGTAGCGGCTGGATGCCGCGAGCAAAGGACACACAGAAGGCACTCTCAACTATCTATATACATGTTTGTTTAGCTATCGCACTAAACAGACAAAGAGCTCTGTTCTCCATTTATCTCACGAGCGTGATTCGTATGGCTTGTACCTTGAAGAATTTCCTCTGGTGTTTCGAGCCGGTCCAAACAGAATTGGCGGTTTGGGCAACGTTCTCTGAGAAGATGGCCGGGCTATGCCTGGCAAGATCCTAGATGCTGATCCGGGGACAGGCAGCTGAGGTAGCTCATAGGGGGACTGCTCGCGCGAGATAGACGACCTCTGGGATGAGGAGCTTGAGTCATCTTCCTCAATACTTGCACAGCTATCGACACTCTGTATGACGTGCGGTCCTCCGAACTCTCGCCGCAAAATTGACTGTCCTGGAGATTCGTCTTGAGCTGAAGGTAAAATGTCCTCGTCCATAAGCTGAAGTGACTGGTCTCTCTTTTGTGAACCCCCCTCTTCAGATAAGACGGTCATCTCGTGCCTGGCCTTTCCCGACACATAGTCGAGCCAGAGTGGGTCATCGTCCGGATCTTCTCCCTTTTCCAACTTGACCATACTACGCTGGATGCTGAGTATGTTAACTCGACTTTGCAAGTATAGTATTTCTTTATCGGCTATAGCTCCCTTAAGAGTCGAACTCGGTGCCGGGCATTTGGAAACTTCGTCCTGGACATGGTATCTGCTGCGCCCAATGATCGCGGTGTCCATACTTGGGCTTTCCAGCATCGCGAGCTCTGTTGCGAGGCAAATGAAACGCTCATCTAGCGTCGATATGTGCTTCTTCAGCATGGCAAGGTCCATTATGATGGATCGTTCGAGTTCTCGCTCGGTACGGAGTTTGTCGAAAAGAAAGCATTGGAAGGAGATAATCGCTGATTCTTGATGTCATTCAAAACTGCCGCAGCCTTTGCATGGTCTGAGATCGCAAGATTCGGTGTATTCGCTCGGCACGTAACTGTCGACGTTCATCTACGTGGCCCTTTGTGAGCGACTTGGACTTGGATGCGAAGGATGGGATTGAGCTTTTACGTACCGTGGATTCTGTTGAGTTCACCGGCTATAATTGGGCTGTCTCTTTTGCAGTTTGATGGGACCACAGAACTGTGATTTGAACGTCGATGGCGGGTGGTAGTGTCGATGATAGCAGTTGTTGGAGTTTCGTCGGGAATAGGGGCAAGGAAACATGCAATGCGTCGGACCATTGGCGTAAAATACTTTCCTTTGATTATGTCATCCGCCGTGAGTGCACTTGATCCAGTGGATTGATCCTGGAATGATCTCAGTCAGACTCATGGCATCTCGAACTGAAGTACATAAATGGCCTTGAACAGCCTCAATCTCTCCAGACCTGTGTGCTGGAAGCTACCTGAAGATGGTAGATCAGCTGACATCCTATGTAACTCGACAGAATAGCCCCAGAGGCCTCATAGTCATTGGAATCAAATTAATAAAGATAATTGAAGATTGGATGTAAGGCTTGAGATGCTTTCGTGCATGATTTGATACGCGGCGCAGCTTGATACAATGAGTTGCAAGAACGAGGTTCCTTTGAGATCAGAGGAAGTGGAGCCAACATATCCCTGATATCCAATTATGCTAACGATCAACTCCAGCACACGGAATCTGGCCCGTGGATTGTTTTATTCTTTCAGGTTTTGCACATAGGCAACCAAAGATATCAACGCAATTCCACTATCACATCCCATTCGGAAAGTTCTCTTGCATCGACTATTGCTAATGGAAAAAGGGCTTCCGGTGTGCCATGACTCCTCTGGACTCAGTTTAAATTAGCCTGTTCCTAGATCGCACGATGCCTGGGTGTGGTGTAGGGGTGATGTCTCGGCGATCTTGTCGAGCTACTGCGTTGCGGTCCCGGGGGATGGGTAGCTTGTGCCATCATTCTTGCCGACCCTGTCCGTGAATTGATAGCTGAAGTGGTCTGGCTTTGCCTCCATTCGTCAGTAGAGCCTGCCGATAAAGCGTCATACTTCGGCCTTATCAATGTCGTCCACGGAGCAACGGGGTTGAAATCCTCTTCCTCTGCTTTGATAGCCGCTTCTTCGGTATATTGCAAAAGGCTCAGCCCGACCATCCCTGCCATACCACGATATTGGACATCTTCCTGTGCAGTGCCTAGGACTTGCTCAAAGGGCATGGGGGATGCAGCGGAAGCGGCGCCTTCGTGCCGTCACCTGTCCAGACGCTCCTCGGTCTCGTATGCTCCTTCATCCGCCTGTCGTATCTTGTCCATCAAGTTTTCATGAGATCTTTCGGCTATTTCCTCTTGCCATAACTCCTTATCGATCGGATCCTGCTCCCTCTCCGACTTGTCGATGCTGTTCTGGATCCGGATTATTGCAGCTCGGCTTTCAGCGAATATGCCATGCTTGATTGCCAAATATCGGTGGTCATGTTGAATCCTTGCCTCCAAGTGCGCAATGGCCTTCCTGCGTGTGTTGCAAGTCCACAGGGCTGTGGCGCGACGCCTGGGATTGATGGTGTTGAGACACTTTTCTATCGTGATGATTGCTCTCTTGTGGTTATCGAGTCGGATATTGAGGCTGTTCAGTCTGCTGTGGAGCCCGCGTATCGCGAACTCAGCGGAAGCTTCGGTTTGGATCTCTGTGCAGAGCTGCTCGTGGAGAAAGCATTCGTAGGGTATGTCGTCGGTGAATATGTGCAAGCCAGACTTGGAGCAGCCTTTGCAGTTGCCGAGGATGGCAGCTACGTCTTTTCGACTCGGAGTGAGGGACTCGATGTGCATCTAGTTCGCCAGAGTAGTCAGCGACGGGTAGGTCTTGGGGCTTCAGGAATTGAAACAGGGTGCGGAGAAATTTTCCTACCGCCTCCATCCGATTCATCTTCGGGAAGGGAATAAAATGAATAAAAAGAAGAAGATGACGATTTGTAGAGCTTTGCCTTAGAATAAGGTTGGTGACTAGGTGTGTTGCCACAGGTCGTTGTCAGGAGCAGTGAGAATGGTGGGGACAGAAAAGGGTGGTTGGGAATAGCTGCAAGGAACCCATCATGTCTAGGAGGAATTTTGAAAATTTTCCGGGTTACGTAATTGGTCACGTGTGAGTTCCTTGAATTCATATGTATGGGATCAATCCAAGCCCGATCCAGGCCCGATCCAGGCCCAAACCGAAGAAAGCTGCTTCTCGAGCCGTTCACAAGGTGTGCAAGAGGGTTGCCTTGGAAATGTGCTGTGGCTTACCCTTTCTGTTGCAGTGCGCCAAGACTGGGGCTGAATAGCAAGCTCATATTGACTTATAACTTGCTTGTTCCAGTTGATCAGAAACCGTTGGAAGTTAATCAGTCAACCCGGATATTGTAAGGTATATCAGAGCACTTACGAGAAGATGTGCTCTTAATGCAAGAATCTGTGAGTGTGCTGTATCACAACTATCTGTATAACGCCGAGTACCAGAGGCTCAGTCTAGCAATCTTGAATGTGGAATCATTCCAAAAAAAAGTACTGATGCATTATGCTAACTAGAGGAAGTGAAGAACAAGCTTCTTGTATCCATCTATGCTGCTTATCAACTCTGGTACGCGGATGTATTCATCAGGACCGTGAGCAACCAATATCGAGCCTGGCCCGTAGAGAACTCTGTTCTTACAGAACTCGGCCCGCAGACGAGGCACATCCGTACCAAAAGCGACCGGAGCCGCTTCAAATCCGTCTATCTCCCAGTCCAGCAAGGCTTCTGGATATTCAAACACCCACTTCAGCTCAATATCTGGGTGGCGCGAGACAATGTCCGCAACCTTGATCTTGATTCCGGGCAAGTCACAGACCATGCGGACTTCGCAGAGAGCTTTAGCAGAAGGAGCGACAATGTTGTGCTTCTCTCCTCCCTCAAGAGTTCCGATGTTGAAGGTAGAAGGGCCCAGAAGCTCGGACTCAGGCCAGCTTGCAGCTGAAAGATCATTCAGAACTGCAAGCAGTGCAGACGTTGCACTTTTACCGAGGTGCGGGTATCCTGAATGGCTGGTTGTTCAATTATGAGCATCTCTGTAGCACATCAATACAAGGTGGAAAGTGGACTTACCAGGCGACGCCATTGGCAATAAGTTCAAAAGCAACTTGGCCCTTATGTCCTTTCGCAAGCTTGCTTTCAGTCGGTTCGGCAAAGATGCCTGATTCCCACGTGACTCCCATGTCGTTGGCCGCAATCATTCCATGTCCTCCATTTTCCTCGCCAACCACAAATAACAGCCCAATGTCACCTTCATCGCGAACTTTTCCTTCCTTTCTCAGCTCCTCAGCTGCTAGGATTTGAGCAGCCAATGGGCCCAGATCATCAGAAGAGCCTCTCCCCCGGATGATTTCGCCGTCGATTGTGAGGGGAATGTGAGGCGGCACGGTATCCATGTGAGCCGTGAGAAGCACCCGCGTAGTCCTCTCCGAGCCAAGATAGGCGTAGACATTGTGTCGACTGGATCCGGGCGCAATTGGAATGCGCTCAACAGTGTATCCCAAGCTTTGGAGATGCTGTTCCAGAAACACACCGATGCCGTGTTCAAGCTCGCTGGTGCTGACAATCGACATCAGTGATTTCAAGAGGTCCACTGCCGGATGGTCCATAATGTTGGACGCCATGTTTGATTTCGCTTGTTGTTGCAACGCTGGTTAGGCTCTGACGATGTTTTGTGGTCAAATGTGTCTGCTTAGCGTCGCCTCGTCTAGCATCCCCTCTTTAAATGTCGCCTTCGGGACTGGACCGAATCAAATGTTCGGGACTGAACCGAAGTACCAACCCGTGAGTCACTGCTTACGTCCACGTCACATGACCCATTTTGAACCAACTTCAAAACGGGCCCGCCTCAGTTACTAGTCCAACGGTTGAACAGATTCAGCCAAATAATCGAGTCTGCTAAGATGGATGCGGTTCAAGGATAGTTGACCAAATGGACAACACCCTACTACAATAAGGTTACACATTTGGCAACCTGGGACTCGAATTATAGGGGACAAATCCCCTATCAAACTTGACATACGACGACCTTCATGTGCACGTAGTTCGGTAATAGAACAGCACATCTCATGTTTTCTTCAAGCATTGAGGCTATGTTTAGTATGGCGAGGTGAGTTTGCCCCAATCTAGGAGTATGATGTCTCTCAAAGCACACCCGGTTCTCAGGTATCTCTGTCCAGGCCACGCTTTTGCCCAGACCCAGCCATCCGCGTGGCAACAGGGAGGGTTGCACCAATCGGACGGGTCGCTGCATATGTGTCCTCGATAAAATCTATGTAGTTTGCGAAGAAACGCCAGCGTAAACGTGGTCTCAACCTTAGGGCTCAAGCTAACGCCTTTCACGCAAGGCTGCAGAGTCTCGCGTCAAGATAGCATCAAATCTATTTCGGAAAAGCAAGCCGTGTATTCTGCTTGGAGCATCACGATTTGGCGGCGCAAAGGCGTGAAGTGCAACAGCCTCCGTGGCACCCGAGCAGGAGAGGTAAATGCCGCTAGCCGCGATGAGTGTTGCCTCAATTCAGTGTGTCATTCGCCTAGGGCATTGAAAACCGGGAAGGCGCTCAGGAGCTGTCACACGTCGGAACTAAACATATAAAGCTCACAAACTTCCCCTGGCTGGTTTACTATATCTATGTGGGTGGAGACACACGAAGCCATATCAAATAGAAAAACGGCTTCATCCAGCGATCTCCGTTCTATCAGGTTACTCGGGAATTATGTCTTCAGAAAGGATCACCATCTATCGAAATGGACTTTCGACTCCCGGTGTGCACGTCCGACACGAATCAGACAGTCAAGATCCGCCACCCGAATACACGTATCCCGATTCCCCTACCGATGGGACGATCACGCCTGGCCGCGTCAACACCCCCTTCTCAAACTTACCGGCAACGGAAAGATTAGTCAGACGACAGGTTCCGATCATCGCCATTTCATCAGGGTCTCCCGGAGTGCCAATCTACATGGTGTGCTTCCTGCTGGTCATTTGTTTGTTGGCCTGTAAGTCACATCTCGGACAGTAAATCCTGTGCGGACCTGCTAACCCCTGAACGACAGACCATCTGGTTTCGCTATGTATGGCCATCTATACTTGATGACCCTTAGGGTAATATGCACTGCGAAACAAGTCCTGAATGGCCTGATTTCATGTCGACTTGGACCACTTGGGAATGCCCTCAGCGAAAGTCGGTGTGAGTGACGGCGTGGATAATTCTTTCAATTGAAATTACGGTCTCGTGCGGATTTAGACGGCCACCCGTGTGAACTACAGACATACACCCTGATACCGGGTTTTGTGGTTTTGGAGAACCCGTGCGGCTCCCCACGGGGCCTCAATTCTCGCATCCAGGTGCACATCCCGACGACTTACCATACCGAGATCGGAATTGAATTTCAGCTTCGATGGTTTTCCGGTGAGGGTTTGGGTGAAAACACGGAATCAGCACTTACAGTTCACTGGCCGCGTATCTTTATATATACCTTGGTCCCCATGTATGCGAGCGCCATTCCAAATTGTCCAGATTGCACGCTGTCTTTGACTACGCGAATTCAGATTGTCCAGATTTTCCGTCGCTTCGACTACTTGACTTGAGAGGCTTTATTTCCCTGATTTCTCTACGACAGCAGCCATGGATCCGTTCAAACCCATCCCGTCTGAAATCCTCCGGATGATACTCGAGATCCTGCCGAGTCGCTCCGATTCTGCTGCTGCGACTGAAGCGTCCAAAGCCTTTCGTAACGCAGCTGATCCGTTCGAACCCGTCCCGTCTAGAGTCCTCCGGATGATACTCGAGATCCTGGCGAGCCGCTCCGATATTGCTGCTGCGACTCAAGCGTCCAAAGCCTTTCGTAACGCAGCCGTTCGGTTCGAACACATCCCGTCTGAAATCGTCATGATGATACTCGAGAGCATGGCGAGCCGCTCCGATATTGCTGCTGCGATTCAAGCGTCCAACGCCTTTCATGACGCAGCCATCTCATCACGCAACCAGATCCGCCGCTTGCAAGTCCAGAAAGATCTCAGCGGAGATCTTCTCCAAGCCGCGATGGCTGTGATCTTGTTTCCAGGTCCAGGTTCGGATGAAGCGTCAATATCCCGTCACTTGGACGACTGGAGAAATAACAGGCTTCTGAACCCATTCTCTGATCCTAAAGATCCCAACAACAAGATCCACATAGAAAGGTTGGATAACCTCTGTGGATGCTTGCGACGTGTCATCACCGACTATTTGTCCAAGGCCACCAGTGTTCGAATGCCGTTTGCGTATCGAACGTTGCCAACGTGGTCAAACCCACATTATTCTCAGATGACCACCCAGAGAGATCTCCGCCAACATCACTTGAACAGTTTCAACATTAACAACATGGAAACTGATGAGCGGTGCCGTGTTTATCGCGCCTTTCTACAATACGAAATTCTCAGCAAGATCTACGGCCCCTTGACAGCGGCAAGAGCGCCTGCCGGTCCTCAGCCCAGGTTTCATACGTTTGACTGGAATGATCTCTTCCACAACTCCACACCAGCCTCCGACCACAAGCTCTTTGGGAGCGTTCGCGAGTATTACATCATGACACACCGCGCGGTGCTTGCCCAACTTGAAATGAATCCCCTTCACACGTTTCGCCAACAACCTCCACGATACATACCGGAGGAGTGTGAACATGCGCCTCGCGTGGGACAGTATGATTTTCCACCCAACCGGAGATACGTGGTAGCACGTAGCCGAGGTCGTGATGTCGATGGGTTTGCTGTGTTAGCCAGCGGCGGTCTTGACACACTCGTGGGCGTTCTGACGGCGCAACCAGCGACAATGCACATTCTGTATCGGAGGCTCTGGCGAGAATGTGAACGCAACTTTCACAGGTTTAGCGCGGTTGAT